GAGAGAGAGAGGAAGAGAGAGAGAGAGAGGAAGAGAGAGAGAGAGAGGAAGAGAGAGAGAGAGAGGAAGAGAGAGAGAGAGAGGAAGAGAGAGAGGAAGAGAGTGTCTTAAGAACCACATTAAGTCTCCCATATCAGTGCCCATGTAATTTCCAGGAGTGACAGGTTGAGTTGACCTAGCTTTAAGCGGGAAAGATACATCACAGCTGGATATCTTAACTAGTCTGGATGCCTTTTTGCAAACTTTCCCAGTCTTTTCAAACGCAAGATACTCTTAGGAGGAAAAAAAGGTGGGAGATGCTGTTGGAAAGAGCAAACCGATTGAACAAACCTGTCTGCTCACCACGTTTCTCCAGCCCAGAGGAGCACCCCTGCTCCCTCGCTCCCGCCCGAGAAGACGTCGTCTCCGGGAGAGAAAAGCTATTTTCAGGGCCTATTTACCAGCTCGCTCAAGTCTGGACTTCCTAATTTAGCAGAGTAATCCGTAGTTCAGCCACCCATGAAATTGCTGAGCAGGCTGCAGCCGTGTGCGAACCTGCGCCGCCGCTCGTGCCACTTGGGCTCAGGCGCCGTCGCRTGAGGGGCAGCACGCACCACTTCCACAGGAAGCTCCTTAAACTCCTGAGGAACATTTAGCAGAGAAATATGACTTCCTTGCCCCATCCCCCTTTGTTTAATTGATATCCTCATCCCGGCTTCTACTCCGGAAAGGGACAAAAGCRGGAATGCCAGAGTCAAGGCAAAGATGGCACAGGAAGGGGCCAGCAGAATCTAAGCCTGGCTTTCCAGGCCCTGGCGACTCCACTCCACATGCAGCTAATCCGCTTGGGCTTCCCCACGGACTCCCACATTTGCTGGAGGTGCTTCGCCCTGTGAGCTCGGCCAGCAGGCCTCTCTGTGGTGACACAGAGCACAGGCACCTCTACGCCTGCTGTGCAAGTCCACACACGAAGCCACATAGTCACTCACACCACAGAGCCCTCCATCTGCCTCTTGGCCTGGGTGAAGCAAACGCCTTGTGGGACCAGCCTTGGGCCTCCTGGCCCCAGTGGGTCAACTCAGTGCTCCTGGGCTTCCACTGGACAGGAGGCCAAACACCATCTACCCAGCCGTGGTGAACCTCGTGTGGGCACAGCATGGACATAACCAACACAGAGCAGCAAACAGCTCCAGCTCTGTACGTCAGATGCCTGCTGAGCGTGGCATATTAAAAGTGACTTCCCCCTCCCGATGAGAGCTTCCTGATGACGTCGTACAGAAGACACATGCTTTCCCCACGGGAACACAGCAATCCATTCAAGGTTAGCACAGAGCAGGAAATCGCTGCTGGAAGACTATAGAAGCTCCCACTTTCCACATCAGCAAGAAACAAAAGCTTTGCAAAGCTGTGTTTGTTTGTTCAGTGGAAAAGGGTCAACTCCCTTTCATTCTTCTAGATGATGCAATGACCTGAACTACTAGGAATGAGAAAGATCCAGAGAATTTTCTTCTGCTGCTTCTCCCATTAGCAGCAAGTACAATCATCTGTGCAAAGTTTGTCTCTTTCTGTAAGTTTGCTAGAGGTTTCACCTGAAACGCCTTTTCCTACACAAGCTTTTCCCAAAACTGAAACAGCTGCAGAAAAACTTTCTCATTTAACAACTCAGCATCAAAAGCAGTTTCTGTAACTAAGTCCTGAGCAGCTACAGAACAATATGCTGAATTTATAGGCAACAAAAGCCAACTCATTCCAATAGACATGAAGAAAGCCATCAAAAGAGCATAGATAACATTGTCCCTCCACAGAAGACAACCTTCCTCCAATGCTTGTTCTGCACATTAAGGTGACCAGGTAAGAAAAGAACTTTGGACTATTAAGAAATAGTCCAAGGACAAGTGGTGAGAGCAACTCAAACTTAGTGGCTCAGTGTTTCAAAGACAACACTTGGGTGCTATTTGCACTCCCAAAGCATCCAGAAGGTTTATGTAMAGTTCCCCTTAGGCAGGCACAACTAGCAAATACAATATTGTGCAAAAGAGACCCCATGGCAGGTTAAATAGCTTTGAAGGTTATTTAAGTCTGTACAGTGTGCTTCAGCATAGTAGCTTTGAAAACTTAGCTAATGACAGCTTCTAGTAGACAAAATCCTCCATTTTCCATGGATCCACTCAGGGCATCTAACCAGAAACTCCAGTGGAAGAAATAAAGACGATTAAGGCAGAGGGCTCAAGGGTTGTGAAATAGAAGGCAACTCCACAAAGGACTGCAGTGGGCACACTGTGGATTCCAGCAGAAAGACAAAAGGTAATTGTAAACTGCCAGGGACCCCAACAGACTATGAATACTAATTATTAAAAAATCTGTCCCTCTCAATCTTTTAAGAGTTAATCCTCTCACTCTATACTGCATGAAGACTGCGGAAGGAAGTCCCCTCACTTCCCTAGCTATAAGATCAGTGTATTCACCCAGGGCACAAGTGCTGCATTGTTTGCATTTTATCACTTCCATTAAAAGCACTGACGTTCAGGCATGCATAGAGACAGGCATGCTCATTTGAGGTGGACGTGCATATACAGTGGTYATGGCAAACACATGGATTATGGGGAAAGCAGATTCAAATCCTTGCTCTGAATCAAGCAGAGCGTTAAGAGAGCTCTCCCACTTGCTAATGAAAGAATTCAAGTGTTAGGTGGCAGACAGTAGTCTGTTCTAAGTGACATGCACTGTGATCTCAAGCAAAAGAATGAAGCTTTTCTTCACACAATGAAACTTTTGCCTAGATAGAATTTTCCATGATAGTCCTCAGCTTAATAACAACAACAAAAAGCCACATTTCATTGGGCCATGAAAAATCTCAACTAGTCCCAGTTCCAGCTGAATGTTCCTATCTGCACAGGCAAAAGCTGAAGCTCTCCCATTAAAACCAGATAGAGTGAAAAAAAGAGAGGAAAAAAAAAGAGAGAGAGAAATAAATATACAAATTCTAGGTTCTCCTAACACAGTTTTGTTCTTCAATGTAAGTTTATCTAAAACAAAAGTGTTACAAAGAGCTTCCGATTAAGACCTACTGTCTAAACCTGGCTGACTTCACAAATCATTCTGTGGTATTTAGCCTGAGCAAAAACTAATTGGTGATGGAGGATAAAATTTCTGCCTTAGCAAGGGAAAAAGATCTTTCTTCACAGCCATGAGCATGATCAACTTTCCAACTACGCAGTAAGATAGGAGAAAGTAGATGTGATGCTAGTACTGCTTCAAGAATAATTTGGTCTTGTTCAGTTTCTTCTATTCTAGTAAGATCTCTAAAATCAATAAGTAAAAGAGATTAGGATGTTTTTCTGCCATTTTACACCAATAAAATATCATAGTGCATTTGAACTGCAGGTATTTTAAATCATTTCACAATAGGGCTGTAATGTCTTCAACAGCAGTGTTATTTTCTGATGAAAATTCTCACTAGAGATTATATTTGCCCATGGGAAGAGAAGAAAAAAAATATATTTCTATCTGGAGCACCATACCACCTATTATGAAGAAAGAAGTAGTGTGAGACAGAACAAACTCTCGCATATTCTGGTCATGTTGCCGTTCCTTCACTGTAGTATAAAGACTTAAAAACAAAACGAAAAAACCACCCACAAGTATCTAGGAATTTAATACTATGTAGCACTACGTGCAGACTGATGACATTGTGCTAAACTGAGAGACACTATGGGCGAGACAACATYTACAGTAGGAAATAAGAAATTTTATGAAGACCTGTACAGCAAGAGCCAGGATATATTTAGGTACTTTTCCAGAGCCATAACGAGCAGGGGAAATGTTATATTTTCCTCAGTTGGTGCAATACTACCTGCTAATTACCAACAGGAAAGGAAGCACAAGCAGCCAGGGCTCTCTTGAGCACATCCAGCTGACACAGAGCAGGCTGGTGCTGCTGCCTGGAGCTCTCTGAAGGCAAAGCCCCTGGGAAGAGAGGGCTCGTGGATGTTTTGGCTACCRGTTTATCTGTCATTTTCCCCAGGTATTATAAGCACATGCACTTTTCTTAAAAGCTTTCTCTCTAGCTTCTCTCAGCTGCGTCCTCCCATCATGAAGGAGGAAAAAAAAAAAAAGTGTGCAGTAATGAAAACACTTCTGGCCCCTCTTATCACATATTTTTGCTGTACTTTATGGTCCTGTGGCAAGGGATGTCTTGGCTGCAAGCAACAAGGACATTTCTGAAAAAGTGCCAGAAAACACACTGCTACAGACAGAGCAACGAGGAGGAGCCTCCTCCTGCTGAGCTCAGCACTGCTGACAAAATCCACACCCATCACCCCTTGTCCCATCAAAGAAGCCAGCACTCAAGTGACTGCTAGGTTTAAATAACAACAGCCCAGCCCTGCAAACACTTTATAATTCTTTATTAATGAGCCCTCAACCTGCTTCCCAGACTGCTCTCTACCAGCCGGGGAGAGCGAGCTGGGAAATCCCTTGATTTCTGTATCAAAACCCTGGCTAATGCTTCTTCAGTCCATATGATTTTGCTTTCGTTTCCTTCAGATGGAAATACAAAGCTATAGGAAAAGCAAGCAATAGTGCAACGTTCAGGAACAACACATGTGGAGGGGTGATGAAGAGCATACTCACGCAGCGCGTACAGGGAGAGGACTATTCCGGCCAGGCAAAACCCCTCGAAAAACCTGAGTGTGCTGAACATTGTCACATTCACYGAGAGGGCCACAGTCAGTCCAAATATCAAAATGAATATGACAGAGAAGAGCAGGACGGGCCGTCGACCAACCCTGAAAATAAGCAGAAAGGGTGTTAAAAGCCAGGGCGGACGTAATGCTACATCATTACAAGTGCCAAGATGGGAACGAGTCACATAACCCCTCAAAACATTGCCACCCATTTTTTATGCTCATTCCACATTTCTCCCATTTCTCCCATTTTTCCACTTAAATTCGCTTGATCTCTAGGTMATCTTTGCAATGGCATATTGAATTCAGATAGGATTTAAGGGGGGTAGGCATGTTCCTGTTTGTTCATAGAATGCAGAAGGTTGGAAGGGACCTCAGRGGTCATYGAGTCCAACCCCCCTGCWCACGCAGGGTCACCTAGAGCACGGGGCACAGGGCTGCGTCCAAGCGGGTTTTAAAGATCTCCAAAGAAGGAGACTCCACAACCTCTCTGGGCAGCCTGTTCCAGTGCTTTGTCACCCTCACAGTGAAGAAATGCTTCCTTAAGTTCCTGTTTGTTTTCAATACCATTTTCAAATCCCCAACTTCCTGTTGGTTGCTCCAAGCAACATCTAGCCACTGCAGCAGAGCCATAAACGCAAGTCCCGGAGATGACAAACAGCTCCTCTGAGCTTTCCGTGGTGGCACGGAAGATTGGTGATATTGCACAACATTGCRTCCTATTAATTATTCCTCCATAATCTATGGCCAAATGACAGYTTAGGACAGACGCATCCTCTTTCCCCCTCTCCTGGGGATTGCCCACTCCCGAGGTGGGTGGCCTGGGGCCACCAGGCCACCTGGGTGCCGTGGCAGCCGTGGAGCCCCAGAAAAGCAGCCCAAGGGGAGAAGGTGGGTGATGAACCACCTGAGAGGAGACGTGACATCCAACACGGGCACTTCTGGTTGTTTCGTGTCAAGGGAGCGCGGGGTGTTTKTACGTCCTATTCACATGCTTGGAGTTTCTAACTTCTCCCCATCTGCTCCTTCCTGCGCAAGGAGAGYGGTGGGAAAGAGCACCAGAGTGTGCTGCTATTTTAAAGCGAGAATTGGATCATTATGGGGAGATTTCCAAAATTTTTCAGCTTGTCACCTCCCACAAGTTTGCCAGTGGAATTAAGGATCCCTTTTAGTCAGCTCCATATGCCATTTCCACAAAGAATATATGAACTTGTTTTCCGTAGGCAGCTTTCACAGACCCAAAGTAGTCTGTCAGCTGCGTGCCAGCCATCAGGCTGAATGTCGGCATAATAAAGACCATTTAAATCTCACAGCTTAATCCAACTGCACATATTGRCGTGTTTTTATTCAATTATTTTAGCAGACGGTTACCAGCAGCTGCAAGGTATAGTATATATGCATATTCAAAATTAAATCTGTGCATTTAGCTTTAAGTAGAACAAAATCAATAAAGTCCAGGATAGAAAGAAAACAATGTTATAGTTTTGGATGCTTCTGAGAACTGGAAGAGTGCACCTACGTAAGTGTTATCATTTATACTTTTTCAAAGTCACACCTAAGGAGATTATGCCCCGGGCTSCTGTGAGGATAGGGTTGCTATTTTTCTCAACTGTAGCACCAACCTTTGGGCAGCTCGTACGGTGATTTAACTTGTTGTCATTAACCATTTGGCATTTTCAAAAATAGAAAGTACTATTAGGGAAATGGAAGACAGCAAGGTCAAAGCAGACTGCTCTTAATAAGTGAGCACACCGGGAGACGAGCTCTCAGCCGCTGTGCTACTTCTGAACTCGGGGAGAGAGCACAACGTTACTTCCCCGGCAGCGTGCAGTGCCCTGGGAGCACACTGGGCACTGCAGCAGGTACTGCCGAGCACCCTTCCAGTTTCACACTTCCAGGACTCAAAGCAAGTGGGAGTACCTCGTACAAGAYGCTGAACCCCTAGCCATCTGGGCAAAGTTCCCCAGTACTACTCACAATCTTCAAGATGTAATTCATAGTAATTAGTATTTGTGAAAGTGTTTTGTAGATGAAAGGTATATGCAAATACTCAGAATTAGGAACTTAATTCTCATCACAAGCCTGACCTGCTGTTTCCCCTCTATTGATTAATAAAGGCCTCACGCTTAGCATACATCAGCATGCATCAGTTCCTTTCTTCCCCCCTCCTATTCTCTCTTTTCTAGCGGTCATCCATTATTAAGGCTTAACATTTCTTGTGCCATTATACACATTATGCAAATGAATATTTGCTGTTAATGAAGAATCCAGAGATCCCAGACCTCCTGGGCCCGTTAAAGCCAGCTGAGGCCAGCTATGCCCTCCATAAAGAGGCAGCACCAGCACCTCCTCCCAGGAACAAAGCTAACGTTTTCCTCACCAAGAAATATGGTAGATTCCCTGAAAATCAAGACTTCAGGGTAGCTACCAGTCACATAGCTGGTGATCAGGCAGTGTTTTGACAAGATGGCATCTTACAGTATTAAAGAAAAAAAAGCCTTTTTGTGTGTAGACAGTTATCTGACTACCAGTGACTGGATATACTTGCAAGAAATTAAACCATACACAACCTTCCCAGAAAAACAGCCCCAGGGTGTTTTCCACTGCTATCCAAACTATTCCACAGAGAGACTTCTGCGCCACAAAAGCCAGCCTACGCTGCAGCCTGTTATCTACATCAGATGTTATTTACCTGCACAGGCAGAATATAACGAGSGATACAAGAAGCAATAGGCTTTTAAAGAAAAGGCCAATCACACAATGTGATAAGCAGATGCAGCAAAAGAGACTCCTAATGTCATCAGATGTAGGATTAGGAGATTGGAAGAAGGTACACTGTGTGAGGACAAGACCCACTTTTCCCCATGCTCCTATGTGTGTCCCTGGCCACGCTGAGAAGACTCTAAGCTTCACTCTTTCAGCTGATCAAATTGCTCTTGCCATGCCATTCTCTGCAGGTTTTTCCAGTGGCTCGGGGACTTGAATCTGCTTGAAGGCAACCAGAGAGGATTGGGACAGATGCAGAAGCAGGGCAGGACTGGGCAATCAGAGGCAGAGGTTACTGCAGCGATGCTACGTGAACATCACGCTGCTCCAGAAGGACCTTCCACAGACACCTCACCAGCAGCTATGGAGAGTACACAGCAACACACGCCTGCTGAGGCTTTACTCAGGCTTTGGACATGGTCTGTCTTCATGTAGTCTATAACATTCCTACAGACCTTCTTCCTGTAGATTTTCTGCATGGAGCAATCCAACCAGGCCTGTCTACTGTATTTTGAACACAGACAATTTGGTTTGAGTTATGGCTTTGCCACTGCCACTGAAGATTTAAAAGCCTTCTTTAGAAGAAGGGGAAAAAAAAGCCCCAAACTCTACCAAAATCTAATAGTTCAGAAGAAAATATATTGAAATTATTGAAATGAGATAGCAGTATAAAAGTAAAACGAAAAATGCATTTTGGAAGTGTAACACTATGATCTGTTTAATCCTGCCTGCACAATCCCTTTGCATCTCTCCACACATTCCCATGTATCCATGTATTAATGGAACCTCAAGATGTGATTAAACTGTAAAGTTTAATGTAGTGGGGTTTTGTTGTTGTTTGTTTGCTTTGTTTTTTTTTCTTTTGTAAAAACAGCTCTCAATGTCACTGCCAACTGCCAAAAAGCCTATGCAATACAGATCAACCCTGCTGGGTCGATTCCATCAGATGGCAGGGACGGGTCAGTGAAGAGGAGCACAAGGACAGACTTCACTGTCTTACTTCCTCACCACACTGTTGAAAAACAGGCTCTCAGTGAGCTCTCCTAACCTCACTGAAAAAGCACAAAATACCTCACTTCTAGAGCCGACTAATTTTATGCTGCATTAGCACCACTAAGCTGCCTGCAGAGGGGTCCAACATGTGCACATGGTAGCACAAGGTGCACAGTGGAGAAGCAAATGGGTGGGAGAACAGGATGCTCCTCCTTTTTGTGGCAGAGAGCTATTAAATTTGCTTACTACATTTCTTTTATTCAGCCAGGGCCTTAGAGAATAGGTTGTTCAATTATTTGCAACTTATTTGTCAATTACGGCAGCATTTCCCTAAGTTGGAAATAAGGCTGCTTTCCCCACACCGAGTCCTTTTAAGGAAAGTAAGCAAACTCCTTCATTCAACTTCCCTCTATACTTTCCATGTCTTATTTTGGCATTTTAATCAAATTCAACTGTTTTATCAGGCATGGTCTCCACCTCACTGCAAAGTCGTGAATCCTCTCATGCCTAAAAGCTTTTAACAACTGTTCAAGCCTTAAAACACAACTTGACTGTAAAGGTTTGAGCCAATTTACTGCACAGCTGCAGGGGTCCTTTTCTCTCCTAGTTGGCTGAGTCACTTGGACGAGCTTTGGCTTTAGAGGATTTCTGCAAGAGGCAACTCTTTCCATTTTCCTGTTTTAATGAATGGTGAAAGAGTTAACTTGGGGCCATTTAAAGCATACTGTGTTGGAAGCCACTGCACTGACTGGGGCAGCATCACGAAACTATTGTTTCAGACTCTGCAGACTTCCTTTAAAAGAACTTGAGTGGTGGCTTTCATTTTCTTTTATCCCCTTTTGCATCACCAGATCCTCTCTTTAAATAAAAGCTGAACTCAGCCAGAGTACCTGATGTTTCCACTACTTCAATTTAAGGAGTTGCAATGCATGCTTTTAAACCCAATATCCCAGTATTTAGAGCACACAAGCCAGTGATCCCTTAACACTCCGTGGAAATGTTTGCTTAACAAGAACAAAAAYAGAACAATGGAAAGGTTTGCATAGAACAGCTCTTTACCCCCCTGAAAGATACTGTGTAGGCACAAGGTTGACATTACACCAGTCTCTTGTATTCAGCCAAATGCACACTGCATTCATTTTTTTGGCCATTTCTCTTGATTAAGAAAAATTTTAAAAGACTTCATGCTTATATAATTAGAAAATACTTAATTCTGCTTCAAGTTTAGGGTTGCAATAAAGTCCATCAGCAGCAAATAACTAAGTCAACCAGCTTATTTTCATATTACTTACCTTGATATAAATTACTCATTTCAAGTAAATAACACAGTTGTAAACTACTTATTCATCASGTTCTCTTCAGAAGCTGAAAATCATTATGCAAAGATTCCTTATGAATATTAAGAAAAAAGGATCAAAGTGCTATTTAACATTGTTATTCATTTGTAGTTACTCTTCATTAAAAGATTTTCTCACTCACCAGTCGGCTATACATCCTGTTATTAAGTGTCCGAAGATTAATCCTACCAGTAGAGAGAATTTAGCAATGTGGACTTTCCAGGCAGAATCACAAACAAGATCCCACTGCAAGAAAAAGACAGATATAGTGAAATAAATCAGTTATCCAAGATATCTGAGACACATTTATATATACTGACATGGTTGCAGGCATTCTTCTGCTGTCAGAGCTTGCAGGAGCTCATGCAAGCAAGAGCAATGGGGGAGCTTTCCCCCTTCAAGTCAAACTCCCTACTGCAAGACACAGAAGAGACCACTGGTGAGTTTGATCAGGTGAGTTTGATTTATAAAATTAAAATATCCTATGCTTAATTCTACCCCCTCYGCAGCCCATGTGAATTTAGACTCCAGCACTGGCACTACTGATGTACAGTAWTACTGCAAAACAGTCCTGGGAAGCACTACCAGCAAGACAATTAGTTTACAAGGAAATCCTCATATTTCAGGAACCTCAAAATCCTGATGTTGGGACATTGCCAACAATGGCACTGGGACAAAGTCATTAGAAAGACAAGGACAACAAAAATTCTCTTAAATCTTCCCTGAACTCCTAGGCATTAGACCAGGCCTCAGCAGAACCAGGCTGAATTCCTGGCTTTAGCCCAGGCAACCTCACTGCTTTTTAACCTGTAACTTAATCTCTCCTGTGCATAAACTGTTTATAGTACAATCCTATCATTGAATATATGCAGGAAGATRCATTTGTTCATGGTTTGTGAAGCAGATATTGATGGTAATGGGAACTCTATGCATTTAGTGAAAAAAAGGAGCAGAGCTAACTTTGGAGAGTCAGAGATACCCCCAGAMTGAAATTCTGCAGTGGAAAGTTATCGATATGCAGTGTAATGGCAATGGTCCTCTACACAACATCAGGCTGTAGTTTCATGGTCAAACAGAATAAAAATATGCAATTTATTTTTGAAAGTCAGATGCAACTTCAAGACAAAGCTTCCCTTTAAAATGAGTTTAATTAGGTGCACTGGCATTTTAGGCAATTTCATAAAATATATGCCTTCCCCAAATAAGCCCAGATCTGACTCATCCATCTGGTTGCAGCATCACAGGATACATCCTCCCGAGCATATCCATCTCACCAAAGAAGTATAGCGTTTTCTTGGCCCAAAAAAATGGTGTTAACTCCCAGGCTTTTTGTTTTAGTTAAGCGTATTTTAACTAGCACTCTGCAAGTACTGACTTGTACAAGTCAGGAGATGCACATCTGATCCTCTAAGCCATTCTGCAGGCTCCACATGGAAGACACTAAGGAATCAGAAGCAAATAGCACGAGTGACTATTTTTTTTCCCACCAAATAACTACGAACTACTTAAAGTCACCAGCTCAGCAAGGCAGTGAGAGTTGCTCTCCAAAGATGTTGACGTCTTGCAAGTATTTGAATAAGAAAGTAGGGGAAATGCAATGCCTAATAGTTACAAATACAGAACCAATCTCCTGCTTGCAAAAAAGGGTATCTGTCCAGACAAGCCATGGACAAAACACAAGGCAGCAGGAACATCTAAGCTCCAGAAAGACTTTCAAATGCAAATTGCAAGGTTTATTTTCACAGTCCAAAAGGTGCATATACTGCTTACAAACGAGATTTTTTTGACTATGGAGTATCAGTTAAGTGTATTAAAAATGTCATAATTACACAAGAATACTTTTTAAAGGCCATCTCTGCAAGATRCTTGTTTTTACTACAGTGCTGTCACAGGTGCAGTAATGTCATTGAAGTGGAGRAAACAATAAAACAAAACACAGATGATCCTGGTGCCTTTTCATCTTTGCAGCACATTCTTGCTAGCAGAAGACACCCAGCCCTTAAATAAACCCCAGACTGAAAATGGTCAGTGCCAGACTCCATGTCGGTAAAGGTTCATGGTCGGAGGAGCCCCTTGCATCAAGAGCTCTTGTGAAACCTCAGGCCAAGACAGCAGATGTCAAAAAAAATCAGCCACTTCAGCACACTCATACACACAGCTAGAGTTTAAGGAGAGTTAATCTATTGGCAGATCCTTCAGCAGTGTCTGAAATGTACCCATTTTTTTGATAAATCATCGGTAAAGCACTTATTTGTTTGTTTTTAAAGCTAAGGGCCACATCTTCAGCTGTTGTTGAAAATAAAGAAGGGAGATCTCTCTGCAAACCTTTCATCTGGTTATGCTCTGCCTTCCCTTAAATCCCTGCTCAGCAAGTCTATTCAAAGCACAGTTGATCTCCCAAGTGCACACAGAAAAGATGGGTGCTGACATGTGCAGATCACTCCTGAGCTGCACGGAATCTTACTTAAAAAAGTAATTGGGGAAATGGGGAAATATTTCACTAGTCTTCCAGCAGAAACTTTCAGAGAATCTGCCACAATCTAAAACTACCTCCCCAGTAATAAAGGCTTAAATGAAGCTCAGTTTCTCCTGCCAGCTGTTACAARCCTGAGAAAACGTATTAGCTTGAAAGGAGAAAGGAAAACAGGGAGAGGGGAAAAAACAGAAAAATGGACATGTATTCAATGGTACACGGAAGTAAAAACTGCATTAGTGGGAAAAATGAAATATTTAATAAATAGCATCTACTCATTAAGTAAATATTTAGTATTATAAGTAGATAATTAAACACTTCACTTTTCCTATTAATGCCCAACAAACGGTAACACAGCAACAGGACAAACTTTATCACAATCCAAGTTAAAGGATTTTGCCATGAACCTGCGCTCCTTCCTCCCTCCCCCAACCCCTTCAAAGCCCAACACAGACTCAGAACAGCTGGAAATAGAGGGTTGACAGGCACAAGCCTGTCATATATATGTGACACAGGGGCTGTCCGTCCACCTCTGCTCTCCTGAACTGAAAATATTGATAACTATGGTAGAGAGGGAAACTTTAAAACAACAACAAACAAAAAAAAAAACAACAAACAAAAAAAGCATTTTTTCTGGTAGTACTGCAGCAGTGTAGAGATTTTGCCACTTATGCAGATGTGCAGTAGGTTGCAAGTATTTTTTTTTTTTCTTGTCAGCAATTTTTGTCAAAGCTTTGGGAGTCGCACCTTAAGAACCCTAATGTTTAATTGATTGCAGTGAGTCACCACCCATGCTGTGAGTCACCACGCTCCAAACAAGAAGGCGAGATGGAGGCCTGTGTGAAACAGGAGATATTTTGGAAGATATCTGGCAAAAGGTAATGCATCCAAAAAAGCAACCATTCTGTAACACCTTTGCCGCTGGGGCAGAAATGGAGAGAATTCACACAGTGAGGCAGAATTCACTCTGAAGTTAAGGAAAGGCTTATGAAAATACGAGTGACAATCCGCTGCATGTTTGTTACTAGAAGCACAAGTCCTGTTAATTAAGGGCACCTGCCCTGAAATGAGTCTTCACTCAAGTACCAGAGCCCTAACTGGTGTTGCAGCACCTGGACAAACTGAATAGCCCCTGCAAGAAGGTGGGGATGAGATGCCTACCAAGCATTTGGTTTGCCCTGTCTTCATCTTGACTGCACAGAGAAAGGTGCAAGGAAGCCCTGCGTGTTGCAAGAATCAAGGGCCAGCAGGAGAAGCGTTCCTGCCCAGCACGAGAGCCCACAGAAGCTCCGCAAATGCAAGTGGTGGGTTCACAGCTACATCCAGAGTGCTGTTGGAAGGGAGGAGACCCTGGCAAAGCTTGCTGGATTGCACCTCAAGGCAGGTAACTCACYTCACAGGCTGCAATCGGCTTCTCGGCCCACAGAGAGAAGCCTYTCTTCCGGAGGTCCAGGCCTCCAAACATCCCTGTTTGCCCTGGCAGGCCCCAAGCTCTCTTGGAGAAAAGCCAGGAGCTCCTGTGTGCGTCAGGTGCTGATTTTAACAACAGTAAAGGGAAATAACACTCTGTCACTTGTCACCAAGCCCCACATATATCAGGTCTCTCATTACTTTGTTCGCCTTCCTGCTTTGTTATTTGGAGCTGAACTCTGTCAGTTTTTCCTGGATGTTTTTAAAATCCAATTTTTTTTCCCCTCTCCATTTCTCTAAATACCTTGTATGGTGTGAGTTTAAATTTATGATACCTCCAGATGCTCACATTTTTATGAGAGAAACAAAAGACTTAAGAKTATATATATTTATATATTTAAAAAAAAATCAAGTGATGTTTTTCAGATACTGTATACAATGAAAAACAAGCTGGAGGCAGAGCTTCGAGTAAGCAATCTTGACACTACCAACAACAAAACCAACAGCAACAACAATTAGAAAGTCAGTACTTTTACTGTAAGACAGCTGCCTTTTCTCAGGCCTAAACCATGGTCCTCAGCAGTTACAGCTCCTGGAGACCACTGTAACAAGGCCTCCCTCCGGGCTGCTATAGGCAGATGCTTCTCCTTCCTTCTCAACCTCTCCTTCCCCAGCCAACAAAGCTGACAACCCAACTGCATTTTAAATGTTAATGCAAATATACAAGCCCCAGAAAATGGTGCATTATCTAGTAACCCTCAACTTTAGGGAGAATAATTGTGCAATTRAACACTATCAAAAAGTGCAGGAGAAACCTTGCAGAGGGAGGCGACAGCCCAACTGTGTCACTGACACACATTCCTGAAGAACAGTTGAGGAAGCCCTGGCACACTTTTAATAACATTCCCGTGCCATATGACTGCCCAGCTCAGATGTCTCCATATCACGTACTCAGCAGCGATGACAACAGGGCATTTAAAGCAGCAATCTGGGGTTTCAAGGTTCAGGGCAGCAGTGTCTCTTTTGAGAGCACAGCTAGGCCAAGCTCTTCACAGCCCCAAGTGTTCCCAAGAACAGCTGGCGTTTTTGACCAGTAATACAACTCACTCTGTGACTTGGTTGTAACAACAAAATAAGSCTGGGAAGGCTTCTTCAGAAGAAAGAGGATTCATTTTTGCACCTTCTTTGGCCAGTCATACTGAAAATCTCCCACCAACCATAAAATATGGGAGGAGAAAATCCACCTAAGTGCCTTGCATCCTTATCAGACACAAGTGGACTTACATGGGCAACACAAGGATTATAAATTGGCAAAGCAGCTATTGAGATTTTTGTTTGCTTTCTTTGAACAGATGACTGGAAT